AAAAAAATAAAAATAAATAAATAAATAAATATATATTATTGATTTCAGAGAGGAAGAGAGATAGAAACATCAATGATGAGAGAGAATCATTGATTGGCTGCCTCCTGCATGCCCCACACTGGGGATTGAGCCCACAACCCAGGCATGTGCCCTTGGTCAGAATCAAACCTGGGACCCTTCAGTCTGCAGGCCAATGCTCTATCCATTGAGCCAAACCAGCTAGGGCAAAGCAAAACCTTTTTGTTAGTGGAGTGTCTTGCCTTCAATTTATAAAATATATATATTAAAAACCCAGTGGTCGTAATGCTCTAACGACCAAAGACAGTCACCAGGAGGAACTTGACGCTGGGTCCCACAACACTCTGGGTCTGGATCTTGCAGGGTTTCGTGTGCTGGGCCTCTAGTAAATAAATAAACAACATCTGTACAGTGCAATAAAGCACAATAAAATGAGGTATGCTTGTATAAAGAGGTATGTCTTCTCTTGAAAAATTGCATGTGGATAATCAAATGACTTTAGGAAAGGAATGAATTCCACCATCTTCACTCTCCTGATATTGTGATTTAACTACATACATCCATAAGTATTACAGAGCCTTAAAGAGAAGAGAAGTGGCAAAGACTTCAATTTCACTGGTTTATTTCACTATCATTCCCCAGTTGACTTTCCTTTGCTAACTTAGCCAACAATATTTCCTTCACTTGAGTTTAAAGGAAACAAGAAAAACATTTTTCATTTCCTAGTTCTTTCTCTTCTTCCACATTTTCCTTCTCTACATTTATTAGGCTCATTTCCATCTCCTCTCTTTGTTGGTGTTTAAAGGAAATGCTTACATGGGGCTGGGGGAGAATTTGGAGGATTTAAATATTTTTGCCAAATAGTGTATATAATGTGATTCTTTCTCCATCTTTCACTAAAGTCTTGAGTGAAGAATCCATTTCTCAGAAATGCGTGTGGAGTTGGCTGTAGTGTTTTAGCCTAATTCCTGGTGGGTGTGGACCTGGAACAGGGCTGCCCTTGGGGGTGGGGGGTGGGGGTCTGCTGTCCTGGTTACAGAAAGAGGATGCGATGCCCTTTGTTCTTTCCCCAGCGTTAGTAGCAGACATTTGAGGAGGACTGACAAAGAAATGGGTTTTAACATTGATACTTTGAAAGGCCAAAGGCTTGCCAAGGCTTAAATCTTTGAGTTGTTTTTGAGAATTGTTTCAATCAGTCAAACCCACAATGCTAGAAATCCCAGAATCCTAACGCCATTTGGCTCTACCTGAATACCTCCTCATTCTTTGTTTTTTCTCTTGAAAAACAAGTGGTAGTTAAAAAAATATGTAAAATTGCTTCATAGGATGGAATTAGGCTGCTTCAAAATGGAACTGTAAGAACCATAAACAGTGAGGATTATTGCAACCAATAACTGTACCCTTAAACTCAAGGGCACTGGTGGAGAGAATTTGAGCTGTTAGTCACACTCCTTAACACAACAAGCAAAACAGTTTATTTGCTGTTCTGTTCCTTCAGATGTTCTGCATGACACCATCTGAGGCCATGTGTGATTCTGAAGCTGCATTCGGTGAGACCCAAGAATTCCAATGGCCTGTGTTTGTAAATTTGCTCTGGTACCAATTCCAGTGTGGATGTTGGGGTGGAGAGGGGGGTCTTCCCATACAACACTGGGTAGTTTTGACACCATCTACCCAGAGAGAGCATCTAATTCTGCAGATTAAGTGTTCAGTCCTACAAGACAACCTCTCCCCTCACCTCCAGCCTCAAATACCGGTCCAAGTCTAGGCTGTCACTTATGTTTCTGACTGAATGGCTATAAACCAAAGGTTCCCATAACCTCTTCCTCAGGTTCAATTAATTTGTTAGAGTAGCTCACAGAACTCAGAGAAACATTTTACACACTAGATCAAGTATGTCAAACTCACAGCCCACAGGCCGCATCTGGCCCACAAGGAATATTTTTGCAGCCCAGCCAATATAACAGTATGTAAGAAATGTTTTAACAAAAATGTCATAGCTTAATTTTTACAATATCCTGTTATACATAATTATTAATAACAAACTACAACGTTTGCTAATGACTACTATAATCATGTTGCATTAATTTCCTTTTTGTACCTTACACTAAGGTGCCCTATTTCTCTCCACTAATACTAGCATTGAATATTTTAGCAGCCGATTGCCACATCATTAGTCTTGAACTGACTTGGTTGGTGTGAGCAACAGGAAATATTTTGCTTTCTGAGAACAAGAAAAATAGGTTTATTTATATACATTACGCTTATTAATTTGTGCAATTATTCAGTGTCTGTTAAGTTAATGTTCAAGAAATAATATTAATTTTTATTAAAATGTTCTATTATTTTAATGATTACTCATTTATTTCAGCCCTTTATATTCAGCATGTCTTTATCGAAATAAACCTACGGTTCTATGAAAATTGAAGCTTTTGTTTTTTTTGCAGCCCACATAACCTTAAACCTTGTTTGTTTAGCCCATGTTAGCCTTTGAGTTTGACATGCTAGCACTAGATCACTGATTTATTATAAAAGGATATAACTCAGGAACATCAGGTGGTAGAGCTGTATGAGCAAGATCTGGGGAAAAGGCACAGAGCTTCCACACTTTCCCAGCCCCTCCCTGTGTTCACAAACCCGGACGCTCTTTGACCCTCTCCTTTTAGGGCTTTGTGGGAGCTTCATTACATAGACATGAGTGGTTAACTATTAGTGATTAATTCAACCTCCAGCCCTGCTTCCTGGAGGCTGGAGGATGAAACTGAAAGTTGCAACCCTCTTATCACATGGTTGGTTCTGGAGCACCAACCCCCATCCTTCGGTTCTGTCCCAAGTCACCTATTAACATAACAAAAGACACCTTTATTACTCTCATAATTTAGAAAATTCCAAGGGTTTTAGGAGCTCTGTGCCAGAAACAGGAACAAAGACCAAATATGTTTCTTATTGTAAATGAAGATGGCACAATTTGATTCCTGGCTCTCCCTCTCTCTGGCTCTGTGACCTTGAACAGTCATTTCACTCTCTATGCTTCAGGTTCTCATCTGTAAATGAGGTCAATAAGAGCACCTTTGTCATAAGCAGGTGGTGAAGATAAAATGAGTTAATTCCAGTAAAGCCATTAGAACAGCCTAATATCTAGAGCTGGACTTTTATTAACAGCGCCGCTAAGGGACCCTAACAGAGTCTTACATACTGTTATAAAGCAAAATTCAACTGAGTTAATTTGAAGATCTAATTGGATTTATTCAGTGATTCATAAATTGGGCAGCATCACATTTAGCAAATAGAAAGGAGCTCTGAGGAGCTGTACAAAATGGAAGACTTGTAGAGGCCAAGGGGAGGAAAGGAGAGTTTCTAGAAGAGTGGATTATTTCAGGCAAGATCATCTTCCTTTAGGAGAGGGTGGGGGGGTGTGTGTGTGTGAGGGGGGTCTACTCGGATTACCTCACTAGTGCAGACAAGGTAATTCCAGATTGACTGAGTAAAGGTCACATTTCTAGGGGACTAACACTGCAATTAAATCTTAGTTGGCTGATGTAGGGCTTAGCACAAGTGCTCCATCTTGTTACCTTTTTAACAGTACTTAGTATTAATGCAGGTTAAATGGCAGAGAGAGAGAAAGGGAAGCATGGCTTCTTTTCTAAAGGAAACAGAGCTTCCAAGTATAGGGTTGATGTGAAGAGGGGAAATCTTTCTAGAATCGATTACTGAAATGGGGGCTCCCACAGACTTTCTACTTTTTCACCATGACTGATTCATTTGTGTTACACTTGCTTTGTGTAGAGCTTGCAGAGCTCAAACCCAGAAAAGTAATGGGTATACATTTGTGGGGACTTGGGCTTGAATAGATAACCCGACTGCCATTTCAGTAGACACTGCCTAATTCTAGGGGTGTCATCCACAGCCCCCAACTATGACCAATGAACTGCCTGTGTAGGGTGGCCTTTGGAGGAGCTTTGTCTGTCTGTCTTTCTTTCTTTTCTCTACCCCCTAGCTCTCTAACATGTTACACTCTCCTGCCCCATATCAGCAGCAGCCTCTGGTTTTAAACACAAGGGCTTCTGTTGCTTGCAATCATTTTATAAAGCTGCCTGATTTCCATTATAAATAATCATGAAATTGGGGGTGAAGGAGAAAGGTAACCACATTTTAAGCTACAATAAGGTGGTGATTCAATTTTGTTCTCTTTATTAAGAAACCTAGTCTCAGTCAGATAATTTGCAGCTAAGTTTTACCTGAAGCATGCTTCCTCAGTCATGTTAAATTCAAGGGACAAATCCTCCTAGGATTTAGACAGTTTTAATAACAGAAATGCTGATATAAAGAGCAGGGAAAGGCAGCATGTTCCAACCATTACGGAGAAAAGTGGGTTAAGACGTTACTAATAAGCCATGCTATATTTTTATCCTACTATTTTCTTCATCTGAAGGACTATTGAGATGAGATTTTAAATTCTAAATGATTATCTGACAGCTCCTATCTCTAGGATAAATTATGAGCAAGGGTTTTATTTTGCTATTAACTTTACTGAAAACTCCAAGAGGATACGGATTTACCAGGACCCAGAAGAAGTGAAATCTATAAACAAGAATGCCACGAACATAATGCCATGAACTTCTAGATTCCCTTTCATAACCTGTGTGCACATTGACCTTCAGGGGGGCTGGGGTAGAGATTGGCAGGGCCCCTAGCACCTTCCTGGATATGGTCCCGACCTATGTCTCATCACCTCTCACCTTTCCACCCGGCCCATCTCACCACATGCTCAATATTCCAGTTGTGCCAGACCACCCATTGGTGCCAAATAGGCCTCGTTTGGAGCAATCTCCTTCCACCACCTTTCCTATTTGGGTAAGAACTGACTCATCCTTTTCTTTTCACAATGTTACTTTATTTTCATTTTGCAAAATGAAGCATTAAAGCCAACATATAGATATTCCTATGGTTCCTTACACATTTATTCTACCTAAAGTTAGGTGTGAACATATGGACGCTTCATGAATTTGTGTCTCATTCTCACATAAGGGCCATGCTAATCTCCTCTGTGTCATTTCCAATTTTAGCATAGGTGCTGCTGGAATGAGCACCACCTATCTTTTAAAACTTACCTCCAATGTGACTTTATTCCAGAATTTTTTCCTAGAGAAATTAGTGGTATCTTTTCCCGCCTTCCCATAGTAGCCAATACGTAAATCTGTGTAATTTGTGTGGTCCTGACATTGTTTTGCTTTTAAAAGTCATAGGGCTTTTTAATATCTTGAAGTTTTTAAATAAACTCATTTCAAGGAGCTGCAGCAAATACGAAAAAATGATTTGCCATGTTTTTGGGTTTCTATAAGAAGGCATCATATATGATAAAGAGACAGTCTTAAATTCTGACTGTGATCCAACTCCACTGAGGCTTTTTTCATTGCTTGATGAAACTATTAAAAATGTTGACCTGCCAGGTTGACTCCGAGCTCTCTCAACACCAAGCATCCCTCACCCCTCCTTCCTCAGGCATGCTTGCAGCAACCTGTGCATGCAGCTTCCCCCATGATTGTGCTTGGAAATTTGCCGAAACTTCTGTTCTGCAGGGTATTTCTTTCTCAAGTTTATCTTGGAGAAGTTCATATTTTACACAAGAGTAGTCACCCCTGGGCTTCACTGGCAGGGGTAAGGGACAACCCCAGAATTTATCAACCTTGCACTTGAGCTCCTACTGTGATAAGATAGAGAACAGACATAGTGGGAGGGGTAGAGTGGGTTTAAACAGTCCTAGCGTCAGCACTAATGTTTAGAACCCTTAAAAAAAGAGATGAAAGAATGTTTTTTTTTCAAGTCTTGTAAATGGTGCTTTTGGGAGAACAGTCTCTTGAGGCTTCAGGCTCTCCATGATTTCTCTCATTGCCCACATATGGCCTCCCACTGAAAATACAAAACCAAAACACTTCTCTTGACCATGCCTCCTCCTAGGATACATAAATGACAGAGGGAGAGGGAGAGATAGAAACATCGATGATTAGAATTATTGACCAGCTGCCTCCTGCACGCCACACACTGGGGATGGAGCCAGCAACCAGGCATATGTATTGACCAGGAATCAAAACATGTCCTCCTGGTTCATAAGTTGATGCTCCATCACTGAGTCATGCAGGCTATGATACAACCTTTCTTTACTCCACCTCATCACCAAAACCATGTTGGCACCCATTTTTCACTTCCACAACCTCATTTCACATTTGTATTCACCTCACAATTCCCACTTCTCAGAATGCACTCACTCTTTCTTAGAACCTAAGATGTCCTAATACTGCCATGTTTATGGCCCTTTCTCGGTATTCCTTCTACTTGACTCTGCTGCAGTTTTTGAATGTAGCTGACCTGCTTGTTTGAAGTTGTCTCCTGGTGTAGCTTTCAGTCTCTTGATTTTTCTTATCCCTTTCTTTTTCCACCTGGTAAAACGCAACTAGAGTGTCAGGGCTCAGCTCAAAGCTCCTTTGTAAAGCACCTTTATCCTTGGTCTGTAAGCAGAATTAATCTGTATCTCCATAGCACCTTCCTTATAGTTCTTTTATACCATCTTATATGATTTTCATGTTAGCCACTAAGCTTAAGGAGTCCAGGGTCTAGTAGGGTTAGTAATATCTTACCCATTTGTTGGCTAGTCATCAACCTGGCTAGCATTTTGAAACTTACACACTCTAGGTCTTTCCAGTGTTAATATTCTATCACTTTTGAATATTACTTAACTTCTCTATATATAGACTAGAGGCCCAGTGCATGAAACTCATGCTTGGGGGTGAGGGAGGGATTTCCCCCAGTCTGGCCTGTACCCTCTCCAATCTGGGACTAGTCGGACATCCCTCTCACAATCCTGGACCACTGGCTCCTAACCACTCACCTGCCTGCCTGCCTGGTCACCCCTGTCTACCCTACTGTCTCCAATCTGGGACTAGTCGGACATCCCTCTCACAATCCTGGACCACTGGCTCCTAACCACTCACCTGCCTGACTGCCTGGTCACCCCTGTGTACCCCACCCCCACGCCGGCTTGATCGCCCCTAAGTGCCCCTCCTGCTGACCTGGTCGCCCCTCACAGCCCCCCCGCCGCACTAGTTGCCCCACACAGCCTGCTTGCTCAGTCGTTTGGTCGTCCCTCACTAACCCCCCTGCCAACCTGGTCATAGGCAGCCACTGTGAGGGTGTAATGGTCAATTTGCATATTATTTCTTTATTATATATATAGGATAGTGTATGTTACAGGTTAAGTACATGATACCAGCACCATGTGTCATTCCTGTCTTGACCACTGTTCAATTTCTAGTGCTCAATAACAACTTACTTAGCAGGAGTTCAATAAATGCATTGAATGAAATGAATCAATTCCTAGAAATTGATGGAAGACTGGCTTAGGTATAGGAAATGTAGAGAACAAATCCCTTTCAATTTTTTGAAAATTCTGTCTTTAAAAAAACTGTATGTGTACTGAACAAATCTTTTGCAGCAATTGAAATTACCTTCTTTAACTGCTACAGGTAATTATCAGTTACATCTGTTATATGCAGTGTTCTCTTCTCCACAAAGCACTTCCTGAGCAACACAAATTAACACATGCTGGCATAGGTAGAGCAGTTAGGTCCTAGCAGCAGGCTAGTCGTGCTGCAAGATATAGTCCTAGTAGCCTGTGTAGAATTGGTTCTGTAGCAGCCTGCGGCCATTACTGCTAGAATCTGGACAAGTACTTACCTGTCCTGACTAGGCAACTAACCAGCAGCAGCATCCTATCATCAGAAAACATAGAAGAAGGAATAACAAATGTTCTCTTTGGTTAAGGCCAATACCTGAAAGAAATTGTCCATTTAGGGCCAAATTAGATACAAACTATGATATTATCAATGCTCTTTTAAGTAAATTGAACTGGCTTAAATAGCAATAACTGTGATGACACGAACACCAAATTTGCTTTAAAGTCTTTATTATCCTGAATATAAAAGACAGAAGTCCTCTTAGGATATAACAGAGTTCTTTATGTGGAAACATTATTTTATTTTTTTACAAGTGAAAAAATAAATACCTTCTGGAATAAAGGCTTATATGCTAATATGTGCCATAAAAAAGTAGAGTTTTAATATCTGACAAAATGTCTGTGCAAAGAAACAAATGCATAAACACATTACTGCTACATTAAGGCAATATGAAAAGTACACTCGGAAATCTCAGTAAAGTGACAGTGTAGCTTTCTAGCTTTTTCACTCAGCTAGTATTGCACCCAATGCGGTCATCTAGGTTTCCCCACGTCCTAGAGAACCTACAAGCTGACCAACGTCCAAAATGCCCAAGTGGGAGTGGAAAACATGACTGAGAATATAGAAACACGACACCTGAAACCCCTCGAAGAACTACAGAGGGGACAACCACAAGTTAATGCTGAAGCGTTTACAAAATAAAAATAAAAATAAAAAAAGCATACACTATCTAGATACTTATTATAAGGCTGTGAAGAGCTTGATGGCTCAAGCAGAAGTGACCCTGGGTGAAGCTGGGTAGAGTGCTTGGGAGAACGGAAGAACACCCTTCTTTGTACTCCACAAAGCTTCCTCTCAGCGAGCAACTCTCCTTCCCCGGGAACATGCTCCCTTTCTGATCTCAAAATAAACTATTCCCCCAACTCAGGAGGCCCAAGGAGTGCCGATTCCTCCACTGAAATATTTTAGCCAAATCGGTAGCATTTTATGTTTGGAAGCTTGAGGGTAAGGAGAGCTGGGTGGTAGCATTTTATATCTGGAAGCTTGAGGGTAAGGAGGGCTGGGTAAGGGACAGGAAGCCACCCACATTGCGTTCTGTGCTTTCTACTAGCCAGACTGGTTTAAACCTGACAATGCGGTTGTCAACTTTTTAACAGTTAGATGATTGATTTTGAAATGTCTGCCTTCTAGTCATTCTTGAACAAGTTACAAAAACAGAAATGACATTAAAACGATGACTATGTCTTTAAGAAAAAAATTCCTATTAAAAATGTTCACAGCTCTGTGACCATACCAAAAACAAAACAAAACAAGACAAAACAAAACAAAACAAAACAGCCCCCCCGAAGTAACCAGGTAAATTCTTAAAACCAATTCTTACAAAACTGGCTGCAGGTAGGAAACTTACCTTAGGATACATTAAGAGACTTACAACATCACTTCCTAAAAGGTACCCACTTTTTGGCTAGGTTGCCACCTAATGACATCAGAGGTTTTACTTATTCCTTTACTTGATCATTAAAAGAATGGAAGTCCGAGGAATGTGTCCATGTTTGAGCTCTCCTTGGTCCCCACCACGGGAGCTGCAGATGGCATGTTTTGGTGGTGAGGAGTGTTGCATTCTTTTTATTCTTCCTTTTTTTTTTTTAAATGTTACATGGCAGATGGGTCTAGAGTATTTATTTTCTCCACAGTCTATCATCCTCCTAGTTTGTAATAGCGCAGCTCATGGAAATGTGGCCCGTGCGATAAGTGCACAGAAGATCAGATGAGCGTGAGGTTGAGGAGACTGGTGTGAGTTGGAAGGTAGACGTGCTGCACATGTTCTACCCGCGACCTGCAGACAGGACAGGACTGCAAAAGAGAAGCCAACAGGACCTGTTAGGATACTCATGGTGTTCACCTAGCACCCAGCATGTTCCGCTTCCTAAATACACTGCGGTCACAATTGTTTCAACTGGTAGAGATCTTAGCTTTCCAACCAGTTTGGAAGTTTATACTTTACAGGGGATTAAAAACAAATATTTATGAAAAAGGATAAGCTGAAGGAAATCAATGAGGTTTTTCGTCAGAAACGCTAAGCAAGGCACATGAGCCAAGTGATTTCCAAAGATTTCTTGCTGTGCAACGAGGCTGCAGTCCCCACACGGGCAGACTGCCCCCGCCGCTCGCCCTGGCAGTGATTTCTTCCAGAGACTGTGTGCTGGCTGACGCAGGCCAGCGTCCCTGGCTTGATGCCACCAGGCCAGCGAGTGTGGCTCCGCTCCCAGGCCCAGGCTCCTCGGTAAGCACGGCCCTTCCTAGGCGGGAAAGGGAGCCTTAGGCACGTGGGCAGAAAAAGATAAACCCAGGACCACTCC